GTCCAAAACAATATTGAATAATATTATTGACATATAGTGTAATTTTTCTATTTTTCACATTTGATTAAATCTATTATAACTTTGTCTGAGATCATGATTACTATCTCTGCTTTTTTTACATAATAAATTCTACTCCTACCCTTTATTTTATCTTTGTGTATATCTCTCATTTTTATAACGTTTCCTGAAAGCAACATATAGTTGAATTCAAATTTTTAATCTGCTATCCATTTCTGTTTTATGGGTAACTTCATTAGCACTCACATTCTAAACTACAATTACTTGTTGTGTATTTTCCTCCTTCCTATTTTTCCTCACTATCCTTCTCACCCCTATTTACCCTGTCCCTCCTCACTCCTCTGCTTCACTTCTACCCACTACCTTGCCTTCCTATTCCTTAACCTACCCACCCCTCTAAAAGTCTCTCCCTTATCCTCTCTCCCCCTTATTCTTTTGCCCTCTTATTTCTTTCTGAATTTAGAAGACTTTTATACATACATACACACATATATGTGTACATGCACACACACATGCACACATATGTAAAATCCCATTCCCTCTTTAACCCTAATTCCTAATGAAAGTAAGGTTCCAGCACCACCCAACTTTCCCCCACTAGCTTCTTCTGTATCCAGTTTTCCTTTTATTCCTCATTTGTTTGAGATAATTACTTCTTTTTATCTCTCTCTACATGTTTTTTTTAGAATCACCCCATCATACTTAGCTCAGCCCAAGCCTTTCTTTCAAACTTCCCAAGTAATGATGACAATCATAGCAAGCTTGCTAATATTTTCACATACACGAAGTAAACAATTTGACTTTATTGAGTCTCTTATAAATGGTCTTTAATGTTTACATTATATTTTGCCTGGATTTTATATGTCAAATTTTCCCTTAAGTTTTGGGGGTTTTGTCACAAAAACCTGGAAGTCTTTCAATTCATTTAATATACTTTCCCCCCCCCTTGCAGGATTATACTTAATTTTGCTGAGTTAAATTACCCTTGGTCATAATCCCAGCTCTTTTGCTCTACAGAGTATAGTATTCCAAGATCTGTGGTTCTTCAAGGTAGTAGCTGCTAGGTCTTGTGTAATCCTTATTGTAGCTCCATGATATTTAAATTGTCTTTTCCTTTTTGCTCCCAGTATTTTCCCCTTAACCTAGGAGCTTTGAAACTAGGCTATGCTATTCCTGTAAGTTTTCTTCCTGGGTTCTCTTTCAGATGGTGATCAGCAGATTTTTTTCTATTTCTGCTTTGCCTTCTTGTTCTAGAACCTCAGGGAAATTTTCCTCGATATTTTCTTGTAATATTGTATCAAGATTTTTTTATAGTATCATTCAGGTAGTCCAACTATTTTTATATTATTTCTCCTCAATGTGTTCTCCAGATCCATTGTTTTTCTGATGAGATGTTTTACTTTCTCTTCTATTATTTCATTCTTTTGATTTCATTTTATGATTTCTTAGCATCTTAGAATGTCACTAGCTTCCCCTTTCCCAGTTCTAGTTTTCAAGGAATTATTTTCTCCCTTAAGGTTTTGATTCTCTATTTCAAGTTAGTTGACTTTCTTTTCATAATTTTCTTGATTTTCTTGGATTGCTCTTATTTTTTTTTCAATTTTTCCTCAATCTCTTTTATTTGATTTTTTAAAAGTTCTTTTTAAGTTCTTCCAAGAATTCTTTTTGTGCTGGGGACCACTTGATGTTTCTCATTGAAAAAGAAGTGGCTGTTTTAGCTTCCTTATCTTCCTCTGAATATGAACTCAAATCTTCTCTATTCCCATAGTAACTATCTATGGTTGGGTTCTTTCTCCTTTGCTTACTCATTTTTATGTACTTATTTTTTGTTTTATTTTATTTTTAGCAGCTGTTAGTGTAATCGAGTTGTAGCCCTGAGGTATGAGGAATGATGTCCCAAGTCTCAGGTCCTTCTTACTGTTATTTTCTGAGGTCTGTCTCAGGGCCAACCTTGGGCTTTTCTCTCCACTCCTAAGGCATGTCTAGGGCCCACAGCCACACTGTCCTGCAAATGATCTTGCTCCCTGCCATCCCTCCAGCGGCTGCAAACTACAGCTGTCCTCTCTGCCCTGGAACTGAAATCAGGGACTCTGCTCCCTTGCAAGTGCCAATAGCCAGCAGGGTCTCTGTCCCTCGCTATTACACTCCCTGGGTGTGTGCTAGCTCCTTCTTCCAACACCCACAGTCTCAGGTTGCATCTGGTCAACACAGCTGTGTTTGGCATCCCTCAACAGTGGAAAGTCCTTCAATCTTCTCCCACTCAGTCATCAGACCCCCACATTACCCACAAAATGAAAGCTTCTAAGGCTGAAGCTGCATCCTGGAGGTGTTTGCATTTCACTCAAGCCAAATCTCCACCTTTGGAGGTCGGGTCTTTCCTGGGGTCTTCTCAGATTGTCTTAGAAGGACAATTGCCCCTTCTTTATTTCTGCTGCTCTGTGGCAATGTTCTGTCTTTTTTAGTGGAGGAGATTTGTAGAGCCGAAAGTTTTCTGACCTATTCCACCATCTTCCCAGAATTCCCTCCCCAGTAATTAATCAATCTTAAGAGCTTACTATGTGGGGCAGCTAGGTGGCACAGTGGATGGAGCACTGGCCCTGGAGTCAGGAAGATTTGAGTTCAAATCTGGCCTCAGATATTTACTAGCTATATGACCCTGGACAAGTTGCTTAACCCTGATTGACTTGAACAAACAACAACGAAAAGATCTTACAATGTGCCAGGTATTGGGCACAAATCAAGTACAAAGAACAAAATAATCTCCACTCACAATGAGGTCACATTCTAATGGGGGAGACTAAGGTGTGTTGCACAGCAAGCAGGTCTGGCCTGGGTCTGTCCTCTGCCTGGTAAGCTGGTGGAGTAGAACTGGACATTGGGGTGGTGGTAGTGGTGGTGGTGATGAACGGTGGTCCTTGGTAAGCAGAGAGCATCTGGGCCAGAGAGCGGATTTGGCCAGGACCTAGAGGGTCCACGTGCCCCTGTTTTCCTTCTCCAGAATGGCATTGCAGAGATTAGTATCTTTTGTCTCTCACTTGCACTTAGATATACTCCTGGCCATCCCAGGTGTCAAGGTCAGCCAGCTGGGGTTATCAAATATCTTAGCGCCCAAGCCTTACACCTTTAGCCCTGTACACTGCAGTGGCTCAGAAAATGTTGACTGCTGATTATACTGGGTGGGTTTCCATCTTCTTCAGTTCTCAGGAAAAATGATACCTTACACATATAGAATGTTCTCTCTCTCTCTCTCTCTCTCTCTCTCTCTCTCTCTCTCTCTCTCTCTCTCTCTCACACACACACACACACACACACACACACATACACGTGTGTGTGTGTGTGTGTGTGTGTGTGTGTGTGTCTGTATACAAGAGCAACTAGTTGGCACAGTAGATAGAGCACCAGCCCTGGAGTCAGGAAGACTCATCTTCCTTAGTTCAAATCTGTCCTCAGACACTTACTAGCTGTGTGATCCTGGGCAAGTCATTTAACCCTCTTTGCCTTAGTTTCTCATCTGTAAAATAAACTGGAGAAGAAAATGGTAAACCATTCTAGTATCTTTGCCAGGAAAACCCCAAATGGGGTCATGAACAGTTGGACACAACTGAAATGACTGAACAACAATACATACATCCATATACTTTATATATAGATACTAGAGATAAATACTTCGTATATACATCTACATGTACATACATAGAACAAAATAAACTCCACTCATAATGAGCTTATATTCTAATGGGGGAGAGCTGGGCCTGGCCTGAATCTGTCCTCTACCTGGTAAGCTGGTGGAGTAGAGCTGGACATTGGGGTGGTGGTGGTAGTGGTGGTGGTGGTGGTGGTTATGGTGGTGGTGAATGGTGGTCCTTGGTAGGCAGAGAGCATCTGGGCCTATGTCCAGATTTGGCCAGGACCTACAGTGTCCAGGTGTCCCTGTTCTCCTTCTCCAGAATGGCACAGGGGAGGCTTCCTTTGAACTGTCTTAGGAAGATTCTGATGATCACCAGGCAGGATAAGATACCAGACATTGAGGTCCTTTCTTGAACTAAACTGACAAGTATTCAAACTCTACTTCAGAGAGCACAACATGGGCTGGCCATGTTGTTCAAATGCAAAATGTACGCTTGTCAGGAAGACTATTTCATGGAGAACCCACAGAGGGCAAGGTGGTCAGAAGAAGCGATACAAGGACACCCTCAAGGTCTCTCTTAGGAACTTTGGAATTAATTGTGTGACATGGGAGACAATGGCATAGGATCAGCCAGCATGGTGTGCCCACATCAGAGAAGATGCTGTGCTGTATGAACAAAACAGAATTGAAATAGCTGAAAAGAAATTCAAGATGTGCAAATTTAGAGAATCCGCCCCAAATACTCACATGGACTATTTGTGCCAACCTGTGGTCTGATCAGTCACAGTCACACATGCTGAAACTTGACTTTAGCAGAGTGATGTCATTTTGGTCCTCTTTGAGAACAAAGGACACCAACCAACACACACATACACACACACACACACACACACACACACACACGCATGTATATAATTGAATTTGATTTTCACATCAGGCAAGACAGATGCTATTACAGAATGAGGTGGCTCACCTATAGTCACACAGCAAGTGTACAGGAGAGTCTGCACTCAAGCAATTTTTAGTACTTCCCACTATATCATGTTTATTTATGCATTTTTATAAGCAAGGTCAATGGGGCTTTAGGGTTACACAAAGAATTTAGCATCCATTTCTCCCTGGGGCCCAGGACAATCTTCTGAAATGAAGTGTGCCATCTTCACTGGGGAAAGAGAGCCCACCAAGTAGACTCTGGGCTCAGTGCAGATTCTTTTAAATATAAGGACTAATTCTCCCCAGCTGGGGACAGCATGATATAGGAGAAAAGATCACTAGCTCTAGAATCAGAGGGCTTGGGTTCAAATTCCCCCTCTGAGACTTACTACCTGTGTGACCTTGGGCAAAAATTTTAACTTCTCAGAGCCTCAGTTTCTTCATCTGTAAATTGAGGAGACTGGATCAAATAGCTTCTGAAGTCCCTTTTAGCTCTGGATTTATGGTTCTTTGATGCCTCATGTCCCAGGAAGTTGATGCCTCCTCTCCAGAGTATGTTTCCTGTGATAGAATTTGAATACGGTCAGATGTTGGGACATGTTTAATGACCCTTTCCTGGCTTCTCCTTGTGGATCAGGTGGGCCTCTTAAAGTGGGTGCTAGAGAAGGGGCTGGCAGACTTTAAAACTCCCATCTACCCTATGAGCACTCAGCATATGCTCAGTACGGGTGAGGGAGAGAGTGGGGAGGAGGAGGAGGGAGTGAGGAAGGGTCAGGTGGCGCTTGAACAAGGCTGCCTGTGGACAGTGTGGAACTCAGTGACTCTGAAATGAAATAGGCTCCTTTTAGGGACAGGCCCTGAGTTGCCTAGTGCCTTCCCTTCATATAGCAATTAATTTACCAATTATGTTCAGATTGGAATTTCCCTGAGAAAGAGGGACATTTTTATTATCATCTACAGTTGCTGACAAGGTTTTCAAAGCCTCCAGCTAGAAAGTTTGCATGGAAGTTTGAGCACAAAGTGACCTGGTTTTTGAAGTTGAAACGAGCGCTCCTGAAAATAGGACAGGAAATGGTGGCTAGACCTGTGATTTCATTATAGGGATCTCCCAGATCGAGCAACTCACTCTTCCAAAGCAGGTCAGCACTTTCTCTGCATTTTTATAATCTTAGAAAGTTAACTAGAGCATTGAGGGGTTAAGTGACTTGTCTAGGATCACACAGTCAGTAGACAAGACTTGAATCTAGGTATTCCTGGCTCCAAGACAGCCTCTCTATCCACTATATCTCTGGAAAAAGGAATAAATAAGACAGAGAAATAGTAATAGAGAACAGAGAGGTAAGTGCATCAGCCTAATTCTGGGGGATGTAGGGAAGGTCTTGAGGAAGAGGGATTGGGAGGGCCAGACATCAAATAATCTTTTTGGGTTAGGAAGCACTGCAGACACTCTTTATTTTCTCCATCACTGGGGGGCAGAGTAGTGGAGGAGAATGAGAAACTGTTTGATTATGAGGGTGGAGAAGAGTGTGGGAGAAGGCCTCTGGGTCTGTGTGCATGCTCTGAGAAACAACATTCAAGTGTAGCTCACATTCTTTAGGGATGCCCAAGTCTCCTTCACATCCCTCAAGGACATTCAAGCCCCTCACATTTCCTGGGCCTCTAAGACCTAGGGATCACCCCAGGCCTATCAATCCTTCTCAGAGATAGCCCCGGGGCCCTCTTTTCTCCCTAAGAATAGCACTATGCCACACAAATTCATAGGGGAACCCCAGCCTCTTTACATTCCCCTAGGGGAAGGCTGAGCTCAGGGGTTTTCAGTGTGTGTATGTGCATGTGTGTGTGTGTGTGTGTGTGTGTGTGTGTGTGTGTGTGTGTGTGTGATGGCAGCTTTTGGTAGTCAGTGTTTTGGACAGTGTTCAGAAAAAATTTTTAATGCATAAAATAAAATATGGTTTTACAGAGGAAGCCCATTATATTGAAATACAATTGCTGATATATAAGGAAAACAAGTTCATAGACTCCAAGTCAAGAACCCTTGCTCTAGAGACTCGATGGGCTCCCCACACTCCCTAAGGGGCAGTTGGGTCCCTTCACATACCCTAAGAAAAATCCTTGGTCCTTGGAAGTTTGGTTTCAGGCTGTCCTGGCCTGTCCTCCTGCTTCATTTGCCTTTAAGGTAAATCAGCCTTCCTGGATCCTTTCTGGACCTTTGGGTCTTTGGGGACAGGGGTATGTTGGCTGCTGAAAGCCCAATTGTTCAATTTTCAGTCCTAAGCTTTTATACCTCCAGCAGCCAAATGTTACAAATCTGGGCTTGATTTATTATTTTGTTGATTGCCTGGACTTAAACAAGTAATGGATAAAGTGTTAATAATGCATATTAAACTTAAAAGTGTGCCCTGCTTACATTTCCCCCCCAGAGAACCCAGTTGTTAAACATTTACCAGCACACCTCTTCTGGGGGGTAAGGGTAGAGGCTATAAAACCATCTGAACATGGAAATGCATTCAGATCATTCAGCTGGAGATGTTCCCGGATTAGAGGGAAATTTATCCCCTCCCTGCTCCGCCGTGGCATGATTTAAAGGCCTCTGAGTGTGCGATAAAAGACTGGAGCAGGTTTCAGCCATTTAAATATAATTATACGGCATCTCAATCCAGATTTCTCAGATAGATCATTAATATGAGCAGGACCCAGATAGTGCCTGGCTGTTGGAAAGATGGAGATAGCTGCTACTCAAGGGACCAGCCCACCTCAGGAGACAGGACCACCTAGGCTCAGGTTGCCGTTCTGCCTAAGCAGAGTAAGCAGCCACTTGGAAAATGGGGACAGGAGAATGCCGCTCCCCAAATGAATGAAGGAAAAGCATTTTAAAAGCACTTGACATGTGCTAGGCATTATGCTAAGTGCTGGCTAGTCAAATGCAAAAATGGAGATAGTCCTTGCCTCAAGAGGCTTACATTCTGATTAGAAGGTACACTATATGGGGGTGGTGGTGGCTAGGAAAGAGAGTTTGGGGTTGGAGATCCATAGGGACGGAAAGATGATCCATGGCATAGTCAATGAACGCATACTTTCTGGAAGCAGTAAGATTGATTTGACTACTATTCCTAGAGCAAAAGGAAGAGAGAGGGTTGATAACCAGGGAGATGACAAAATACTCTGAGCGTGTAGCTCAGTGGGATATGAAACATGGTCTAGTTTGGGGCCAGGATATGAAGTTAGACTGTAAAGCACCGTGGAGGTCATCTAGGTCATCCCCCTCATTTTACAAATGAGAAAACTGAGGCTCAGGGAAGTGACATGAGTGCCAAATGTCACACAGTACATGGCAGAGCCAATGGGCTCAGTAAATCAGACCTTCTTCAGTCTCCAATCAAGTGGCCCAGAGCCCAGGGTAAGAGCCCTAAAGCTGAGTGAAATAACTTCCCCAAGAAGTCACACAACTAGAGAGTAACAGAAATGTAGCCGCCGCCCGGCTGTTGCTTCCTAACTCCCTGTTAAAATTCAGATGCCTCTAAGAAGAGAAACACATTCAGTCTTTTCAGACAGTCTCTTCCTTCTCCAATCTATTCTTTACAAACTGCCCTTGTAAGCTTCCTAGAGCACCTCTTTTGTTCAGTAAGTGAGCTGCCCCTGACTCTTTGTGGTCTCATGGACCATAGCACTCAGGCCTATTTATCCTCCCCTAACTCCCAAAGTCTGTCCAAGCTCATGTCTGTTGCTTCCATGACACTGTCCATCCATCTCATCCTCTGCCATCTTCTTCTCCTTTTGCCTTTAATCTTTCCTAATGTCAGAGCCTTTTCCAATGAGTCCTGTCTTCCCATTATGTGGCCAAAATATTGAAGCTTCTGCTTCAGTATTTGTCCTTGCAAAGAATAGTCAGTTAATTTCTTTAAGTATTGACTGACTGGATCTCTTTGCTGTTCAAGGGACTTTCAAAAGTCTTCTCCAGCACAGCAGTTCAAAAGTGTTGATTCTGTGATGCTCAGCTTTCCTTATAGTCCAACAGCCATACCTTGCTACTGGAAACACCATAGTTTTGACTACACAGACATTTGTCAGCAAGGTGATGTCTCTGCTTTTTAGTGTGCTGTCCAGATTTGCCATTGTTTTCCTTCCAAGGAGCGTGTCTTTTAATTTCATGGCTGCAATCAACATCTGCAGTGATCTTTGAGCCCAAGAACACAAAATTTGAAACTGCTTCCATTTCTTCTCCCTCTATTTGCCAGGAAGTGATGGGGCCAGTAGCCATGATCCATTACAATCATGTAACTCCTCTACCCAAAAATCTTCAGGAGCTCTCCATAGCCTGATTCTGGAATTCAAGGCCTTCTGTAATCCAGTTCTGCTTTATTTCATGCTTCTCCCCTCTAGTCTTAGCCAAACTGGACCTCTTGTCCCAATCTTCATTCTGCCTTTTTCCACCTCTGTACCTTCATTTACAACACCCTTCATCCCTAGGATGGAATCATCCCTCCTCCCTATCTCTGTCTGTTGAAAACCCTCCCTTTCTCAGGCCCAGCTCATAAGCTTTTTCCTCCATGGAGCTTTCCCTTAACACCTCTCCCTGCCCCATCCATTTCAGAGGAAAGCGATCTTCAATTTTTTTCCTCTTCATATATCTAATAATACTCTGCCTGAACCTGTTATTTGCACTTATCTCACTGTCTTTTGTGTCACAGTCATTTGCATATTTGTCCTTTATCATAGTACATGAGATACTTGAGAGCAGTACCTGTTCCCTAACTGCTTTTGCATCCCTGGCATAGAGCACGAAGTTGGGCATACAGTAAAGGCTTACTGAATGCCTGTTGAATTGAATTGAATTTTAACTGAGTGTGAAAGGACAGCTCAGATCTTTCCCTGAGCACAGGTTTGGAGAGGGGAGGAGGGGAGTCCAAACATCTCTTGGCCAGGGCAGAGACACAGGAAAATATAGATGCCAAATACATCTATTCAAGATCACAGAATGTAAACTCAGTGAGGGCAGAGATCATGCCTTAGCATCTCCCAGCTTAGGACAGTGCTCTGGAAAACCTGAGTCCAAATCTGGCCTTACATACTTACTAGCTGTGACTTCACCTCAATTTCCTCAACTGTAAAATGGGGATAATAACAGTACCTACCTCCCAGATTGTTGTGTGGTTCAAATGAAATGTAAAGCATTTAGCACAGTGCCTAGCATATAACAGGCACTTAATAAATGCTTATTCCCTTTCCTTCCTCCTTCCCTCTGCACACAGTAGGCACTTAACACATATTTGTTGAATTGAATTGAATCAACCTTGACCTTGGCTCCTTCTTCATCCAGCCATGTTAGTGAAGAAGATGTGGATGGTCCCTTGAACATGTGGAATATTTTGTCTCAAAATACTTTCATACCCACTACATAACTGGGCCCACAATACAGCAGTATACATCCATCAGAGCAGGTTTATCACTCCCCTCCTTTTATGGACGAAAAAATTGAGGGCAAAAAAGGTTAAGTGAATTGTTTATTGTTGCATAAGTACTTAGGGGCAAGGATTCCTAATTATTAATCCAGTCTGTGTCAG